GAGGGCCAGGTGGGATTGGGTGGGGCGCAAGTTATTGATGGGAAGGAGGGAGGTGGTGGGAGGGAGGGGGTGGGGTGGGAGAAGGGGTGGTAGGCAGGCCGATGGTGCGGCAGGATGACTGGTGAGTGGACTCATGGGAGCACTGAGGGACGTAAATGGAGGTGGGGAGCGTAGGTGGGTTGCGGGTTGGCTGGAGAGATGGTGTTATGGGTGGAATTGTGTCCCCGAAAGGTGTGTTGGAGTCCCCCTCCCCCAGTGTCGGTGAGCGTGGCCTTGTTTGGAAACAGGCCTTGGAAGACGTAATCACATAAAGGCAGGTCATGAGCGCGGGTTCTAACCCAACATGGCTGGTGTCCTCATCGGAAGAGGAAATGCAGGGAGGAGGCCCTGTGGCCTCGGAGGAGGGAAGCTGCAGCCAGAAGCCGGGACAGAGGCAGAAGGGTCCTCCTGAGCGTCAGGGCAGCGTGGCCCTGGTGACCCCTGCTGGGGCCTCTCGCCTCCAAACTGAAAGGCAGTCATTGAGGCCGTGCAGGGGCACAGCCGCCCTGGGGACGGATGCAGAGGATGCGTGAGGCTTGGGGGGGTGGCTGGGTGGGTAAGATGGTGTGTGGGTGACAAAACAGGAGATGACTATCCCAAATGTTACATGACACTCATTAGGAAATTACCCATTCTTTATCTGAAATTCACATTTAACTGAGCACGAGTGTTTATTTAATCTGGAACCCTATCTGGGGCAAGCACTCCTGGGGGTGCGTGGGGGCCCCCCAGTGCCAGGAGACATTTACTGGGGGCCTCAAATCCTTTCTAGAACAAAGTACCGGGGCAGCAAGGGATGGGGGTGGGGAAGGAAGGGGGGAGGGGGGGATGAGGGAGGCCCACAGCCCTGGGGCCTGGGATTGGTGGTAAGGGCACAGGGATCTGGACAGGGGCCCAGGCCAGGCCGAGGGGCAGAGCATGTGCTGGAGGAACCCAGAGGTGCCACCTCGTGCCAGTGCCCAGAGCTGTGCCAGGAGTTCTGCCTGGAGCTGAAGCCTGACAGGAACATGACCCGCCCTGGCCTCGTACCTGGGGGTCGGCTGACGTCGGCAGAGAACAGCCAGTCGGCAGCCTTCCTCGCGTCCGCGCCCACCAGGTAGAACTTGCCGAAGTAGGACATGTCGAACACGGCCGCCGCGCCTCTGCAGGCCAGGCACTCCTGCCTGATCTGCAAGGGCCAGGGTGGGTGCTAGGGGCTCTGAGACGTGCCCCCTCCCGCCCACCAGGATCACGGGCACTGGGGCTCTCTGCTGCCACCCGCTCTGAGCCTCCCCTCCGTCCCCTCCAGCTCAGAAACACCGTGACATCTCAGACACAGGGACACACCCAGGATAGATCATCAGCCATAAAAGCAAACCTAATACTTTCAAAAGGATTAAAGCAGTGGTTCTCAACCTGTGGGTCACGACCCCTTTGGTGGTCGAACGACCCTTTCACAGGGGTTGCCTCAGACCATCCTGCATATCAGATATTTACATTACGATTCATAACAGTAGCAACATTACAGCTATGAAGTAGCAACGAAAATAATTTTATGGTTGGGTCACAACATGAGGAACTGTATTGAAAGGGCCAGAAGGTTGAGAACCACTGGATTAAAGTCATACAAAGCATGTTCTTCGACCACAATGGAATTACACTGGGAATCTAGCAGGACACTGGAAAACTCTCAGAGCAGTGAAACGGAACAACAGCCAGCAGATCAGGAAAAACCGCAAGGGGACTTAGAAGACATTGAGCGGAGTGACAATAAACCTGCCATGTATGAAAGAGTCTTAAAATGCCTACGAGTAAATGTAACAAAAGTGCAAAATTGGAATTAAAAACGACAAACTATTTTTGAAATACATCAAAGAAGACCTGAGCAAGTGGGAAGACATCCATGTTTACGAAAGACTTACTGTTGCCAAGGGGAAAACACTCCCCAAGTGGACCTACTGTTCAACACCATCCCTACCAACATCTCAGCCGACCCGTGGCAGAAACTGACAAGCTGATTCCAAAATTCATATGAAAATTCGAGGGACCCAGAATATTCAAGACAATTTTGAGCCCTAGCTGGTTTGGCTCAGTGGATAGAGCATTGGACTGCGGACTGGAAGGTCCCGGGTTCAATTCTGGTCAAGAGCACATGCTCGGTCCCCAGTAGGGGGTGTGCAGGAGGCAACCGATCAATGATACTCTCTCATCGTTGATGTTTCTATCTCTCTTTCCCTCTCCCTTCCTCTCTGAAATTAAAAATATATATATATATTGAAAAAGAAGAACAAAGCTGGAGGACTCATACTTCTTGACTTGAAAACTTATCAGAAACTTACTACAAAGCTACTGTCATTGAGACAGGGTGGTGTAACCTATGGATCAACACATAGATCAACAGAGTAGAATTGAGGGTCCAGAAATAAACCCTCACATTTATGATTTTCAACAAGGGTGGCCCCAGGCAATTCAGTGGGGGAAAGAATACTCTTCACCCAGTGGTACTGGCTGTCCACACACAGAAGAATGAAGTTGGACCCCCTACCTCACACCGTCCACAAACAAAACGTAATCAGAATGGATCCCAGACCCAAGTGTAAGAGCTAAGACTGTGACACTCCTAGGAGAAACCTAGGAGTAAGTCTATGTGAACTTGGGTTAGGGAACGTTTTCCTAAACACAACACCCAAAGCAGAAGGGACAGACGAGAAAGACGTCAGCCGTAACTCATCCGAATCAAGAACTTCTCTGCCGCCAACAACGCCACCAAGAAATGAAACGACAACCCACAGAGTGGGGGGTGCCTGCAAGTCTTTTATCTGATCTGGGATTTGTATCCAGAATCTATAAAGAATCCTCATAACTCAAAAAAGGTAAACGACACAATTTAAAGATGAGCAGAGGGTCTGACTAGGCATTTCTCCCAGGAAGGTATACAGATGGCCAACAAGCACGTGCAAAGATGCCCACAGCATCAGGCATCGGGGAAACGCAGCTCAGATCTGCAGGCTGCTGCCTACCCCCCCCCCCCCCAGCCGAGATGGCTGGAATCAGACAAGACAGGGCTGGGCGGGCGTGGGGCCCACGTGGCCAGCGGGTGGAAAGGGGAGTGGTCGCCTTGAAAACAGCCGGGGGTTGCCCGAAACATTAAACACAGAGTTCCTGCGCGACCCAGTGACTCCACTGCGGGGTGTCCCTCTCCCCAGGAGAGGTGAACACGTCCGTCCACACGCAGACTTGTGAGCACGTGGTCACAGCAGCCAAAACGTGGAGACAACTGGAATGAGCCCCACGGCTGGATGGGTAAATAAAACCTGGTCCATCCACGTCATGGAACCTTGTTCAGGATCGAGTGGAAAGCTCCACCCCCTGCAGACACCAGACACGCAGCCCTTCCCGCAGCCCCTCCCCCCGCGGCACCTCTCCTACGCTGCTGGGCCCGGACCAGAAGCCGAAGCAGCTTCCTGGCTGATTCACGTCTCCCCGCCCGGGAAGTGCCAACGCTGAGAACAAGTTCGGGCGCGTCCATGGGCTGGAGGCAGCGGGAAGCCAAGTTGGCACCCCCTCCGAGCTCTCACAGCGGAGCGTCACAGCCTTAGACGCTGCGGGTGCAGAGGCGCCAGACGGAGCCCCACTCGCTCCCCAAGAGGCGGCCCGGGGACCCTGAGGTTTAATGCAGCGCCTCCCACCCCCGGCTTCATGGGACCCCCATGGAAGCAGCTCCGGGGCAATGGTGGGGTGCTGGTCCCTTCCCTTGGGGATGGCTGCTGATTTTTGAGGCCCAGTGCAAACAAAACCAAAGTGTGGGTCCTTGTTCAAAAGTAGGAGTGTCGCCCTAGCTGGTTTGGCTCAGTGGATAGAGCATCGGCCTGCAGACGAAGGGTCTCGGGTTCGATTCCGGGCAAGGGCACGTACCTTGGTTGAGGCTCCTCCCTGGCCCGGGCCTTGGTCAGGACACGTGCAGGAGGCAACCCATTGATGTGTTTCTCTCACATCGATGTTTCTGTCTTGCCCTGTCTCCTCCACTCTCTCTAAAAAGCCTCGGGTGAGGATTAACAAAAAAGTAGGAGGAGTTTCGAGGCGCGAGCACGGAGTTCCCCCGCCCAGGCGCTCCTGAGTGAGGCCCCGTGTCTGCGCAGGTGGCCGGCCCAGGAAGCGGGCTGTGCAGCGTGACCCTCAGCGCTGCGTCCCTCGGGGTGCTACCCGGGCCTCCCCGGGCGCTGGGACCCCGAGCTCGGGCCGTGGCTCCACTCCTGCCCAGAGGCACCCACGGGCGTCAGCCCGCCTCTCCCGTCAGCCACGTGTGTGGACACGGCGACGTTCCGCTTCGTGACTTTACAACGTGGCGAAGAAGCCGGCCTGGTGCGTCCTGCACTGGCCGCCCCCGAGAACACCCGTCACCTCCACCCCACAGAGTGGGGCCCGGCTCTCGAGCGAGGGGCAGTGAGCCGCCAGGTGCCGTCTGACCAGCCTCCCCGCCCTCGTGTGGAGCGAGGGGCAGCGAGCGGCCCGGACCAAGGACCCTCCCCAGCGGCTCTGCTCTGCCGTCCGGAGGGTCTGCTCTGGGGAGGGGCCCTGCGCTGGGCCCGGAAGGAGGGGCTCGTCACTAATAAAGCCGACACGGCTCCCAGTTCTGGACGAGGCTCAGAGGCCGAGGCCCCGGCCTGGGGCCACACAGCCAGACCCAGGCCCGCTGCCCGGAGCGGTACTGCTGCCCTGGGCCTGGCTGCTGGACGAGGGAGCAGTGGGGGAGGGGAAACATCACCTGACTCCCGGCAACTGAGTCAGCCCCAACGAGGATGGGATGGAGCCAGGAGCTGGGCAGCTCTGCGGGCCAGGAGGGCCGGCTACAGAAGCCCCGTCTCTTACTCGGGCGGGGGGTGGGGGGGTGGGGAGGGGGGGTGGGGAGGGGACACAGCGACTCACCACCTCATGGTGGGGCGGGAAGTCGAAGGTGTACTCGGCCCCCAGCAGCCGGTTGTAGGCGTGGTCCTGGTGCGCCTGGTGCCCGTAGGCCCCGTAGTAGTCGTACGGGAGGACCTGGGGAAGGAGCCTGCTCGTCCTGGTCCTACCCGTCCTCCCGCCTCCCCCCATACAGATCAGGCCTGGCAGGCACCGGGCTGGTCCCACAAGGACAGACACACAAGACCCAGGAACCCGCACAAATGACACCTTAATCACTGAGCGCCTGCGTGGTGGTGGGTCTTTGAGCCTGTGGGGGCCCAGGGGGAGGGAGAAGAAAGTAGGTAAAGTCAAGGTGTGGAGAGAGGGGGAGGCAGGAGGGGGTCCACCAGGACCTCAGGGCTTTCGACTCCACGCCCAGGGAGTGGGGGGCCGCCAGGGATGGGGATGAAGGAGTGGGTGGCCCCGCGCCACTCCTGAGGCTGTTGCCATGGCAGTCGGGACCAAGTCCTGCTCAGAGTCCCTCCTCTCCTAGGAGGAGGGTCCCGCTACGGATGAGGACCCTGAGGCGCGGGGACAGGAAGACTTGTCCCAGGCGATGGCTCCCGGTGGGTTGCACCCGGGCGGCTCTGGGCTCCTGTGTGGGGAGGTGGGTCCCTACAGGCCTCAGGAGGAGGAACGGCGCCCAGGGGGGCTCAGACCCGAGCGGAGGCGTGTGGGAGCTCTGGCCCGGAACACTCCTGGGATGTGGGTTGCTATGGAGATGGAAGGGGTGGCGCCGGGAGGGAAAGCACAATATACAACAGGAAAGGGGTTTTCATTTGTTCCCATCAGGACCAGATACTCCCCATCGGCTTAAAGCCTCACGTGCCGCCTCGAGGGCCCCCCAGGGGCTCACAGACAGGGTGGTCTGACTCTTCTCTGAGGGCCTGGCCCTTGGGGGGCACTGAGGGGGGGAGGCCCAGGAGGGCACCCCGAGGCCAGGGTGGTGTGAAACCCCAGCTTAGAAGCCAACACACAGAAGCACAGCCTCCTGCGAGGCCCTCCCACTCACACAAATGAGCAGTTGCAGTTGCCAAAAATATGTGAACCCGATTACGGGGAGACGCTCTGATTCTCCT